TGAAAACTGAAAATCTCTTTCTTTTTTCTCTCTATTTTAAATCAATTTGTCGATTGGTAAAGCAGCCAAATCTGACATGGCTGGTCGGAAACATCATTTAACTTTTTTAGAAATTTCTCCTATAAAATCCTCTCCAGCATTGCTTCTCTAGTTTAAAAATGACAAAAGAAGCATTCCTTCCAATATAAAATGCAAGCCATCAAAATGTTACATATCAAAATCTTGATATAAATCTTATTCTGTTTACAACTCCAAACTCTATCTTACTAACTTTTTTTTAGTGAGACTCCCTACAATCTCCCAGTTCTTGATCTGCAATTTCTCACAAATAACAGCTGTATATATTACAAGCAAAGTCACTAAATACGTCATCTTAACAACCATTTATAACTAAATGAAGTCATTTCTCTCTGAATACCATTACATTTGTATAACAAAAACAACTCATCTTGAAAGAAAATTCACATTGTTAAAGACTAGACTGCAACAACTAGTAAAGGAGGTGGTTGGATGCCCTAATCAGGACGTCAAGCATACCATCCACGGTCATGCCTTTGTTTGTTTTGCACAATTCAAGGGCCTCGCTCAGTTCCTCGTTGCCTTCGTAGGAAACCAGTAACCCATAGAGAGATATGACACTGTCAGTGTTCCCCAGGAAAACTTTGTCACATACCACTTGAAGGTTTGTATTTACCCTTTCCAGTTCACACTTTGATGTTCGAAGATGGCACCTGCCCTTGCAGTCAAAATAAGAACAGTCTTCATCTTCAGAACAAGAAGGTGTATTTTCCATGATCTTCAGGAGAGCGTTCTCTGGCAAAACTGAATCCAGATCCAGGAACATCACATTCCCAGACTTATTCCAGCCAAAATGACTGTGCTTTATGTCACACAGATGAATGTGTTCTGTATAGATGGTCTCTAATTTCCTGATATACCGGAGGATGTCTAAGCCCTTCCACAGCCTCTCCCGCCAGGTAAGGCTAAACGGCCTCATTGCATTCTCCGTGAGAGGCGTTAGGTACTCCACAGCATAGTATGAACCGCATGTCCCTAACACGCGAGGGAACAATCTGAACTCTTCCAAAAGATAGGACATTAAAAATTCATGATCCTGTAACAACAACCAGAAATTTTTGTGATACTCAACAATTTCTGTGCTGGTTTTATAGAGATTATTCTCATCCATGAGCTTAGAAATGGAGTCTTTGTTGATGTCATGACCAATGAAGTTCAAGGCATAGGTTATGGCCATGCTCTGCAGCTCCTCTCGTGTTGGAAAGTACTGCTCTCCTGATTTCTTGTTCCAATAAACCTGCAAAAGGCAAATTGTATGAGAAAACAATAAAATAATCAACATCTACATTACATAATAAAAAAGGCAGATTAAAGAAATGATGAAAAAAGGACACTGTAAGAAAAAATTATGAAAGAAATAGTCTTAACCCATGTGAAATGTGAAAAAATATAAGAATGTCTACCGTGAATACATATTTTATCTGTTTTTATTCTTCTTCTCATGCCAAGTTTTACAACATAAGATAAAGTTCATGTTGTGAGTTTATTCTATGTAAAATCACAGTTAATACAACGTTTCAAATACCTGCAACATATTCTATTATACACAATAGGACATTCCCAGGAATAAGGTGTAAATCTAGGAGTTTTAAACAGAAATTTCCCACCTCTTATTACTGCATTTTTATACTCAATCATCTCCATGTTTAACATCCTCTAATGCAATGTTTGGCCACATAACTCAAGCACCCACTCTTGTATATCATGTACCTCTTAAATATATCAATCTCCATAATTCTCCTTTGAAAATATTACGATGAAATGCATCATGGCTCTCCAGACCAGTGTTATTTAGTCAGCAGAGGTACATCACAGCATTCCATAAGAACATACAACATGCTATTTGCATACCATCTAATCTACATAAAGTGGACATTCAGTGGAGGATACTTGCAAAACAGGATGATCTACTCTTATGTCAACTCCAGGACCACCAACTCTTCAAGGAATCAAGTGGCTAATATACCATGTACATAATTACAAAAATTGAAAGCTTTTTGTTTCCTTTTCCTTACTAGAAAACAACCTAGCTCCTCAGTAGGTCATCACATCGGTTTTTAGGTGAAATGTATGAATCTTTAGTCTGTAGTGAGCATGGTACTTACCAAAACATAGTATTTCAAAGAAGATGAAGAAAATAAGGATGAAGCCATGAAAATTGAAGAGCAATGCTATATAAAATTATGAATATCATGACATATACAAATTGATCCATTTAAAAATCAGTTATTTTCTACCATACTAATATTGAACTACTCAAACCAATGTCACAAATAATGCAATACATATAAATCACACATTAAAATGTACAGAGATGAATCAATTTCATATCTGGAAACTATACAGCATAGACTTCAACTAGGACATATCACCAATGAGGAGACTAATAATTATGCTCACTGTCACTTCTCTAGCCACATAT